TATATATATATATATATATATATATATATATATATATTTATATATATATATGGATATGAGTATGAGTATGGGTATGGGTATGGGTATGGATATAGATATAGATAGAGAGAGGTAAACCTACACACACACACCCACACACATTTATGTATTTGTTTACATTTAATATCTATTTTTCTTCTTCTTCCATCATATTATTATCATTGCTGTTGTTGTTGTTATTATTATTATTTCATTATTCTTATTATCATCATTACCATCAAATATTATTATTAAGACAAATTTGAAAGTGAGTGTATAGAAGTTGCAATACACTTAGATTATTTTATAAGTGTTACTTTTTTCTTATTAGCAGAGTTACTGTGTTTGTACTGAATTAAATTTGTTGTATTTCTGCAAGGACTTTCACAACACTAATTTAGTCTGTGAAGTCAGTACATGCTTGCAGTTAAAACATTGAGGTCACAGAGAACTTCATATACCTTGGTAGTGCAGTTCATGACTCCAGGTTGTCAGACCAGGAAGTCAGTAGACGGATTGGCCTGGCAGCAGGGGTCATGAAATCTCTCAATAAGACCATTTGTAGATGCTGGTACCTGTGCAGAAGAACCAAGCTACGTATCTTCTAAGCCCTGATACTGCCAGTTTTACTATATGGTAGTGAAAGCTGGATGCTATCTTGTACTTTGGAATCTCGTCTTGATGCCTTTTGTAACAGATCCTTGCGCAGGATCATGGGGTACAGTCGGCGGGATCATGTGTCCAACTAACAGTTGTACCGTGATACCGGTACAGGACATGTTACTCGCACAATCCGTGATCGCCAACTCAGGCTATCCAGCCATTTGGCTCAATTCCTGCAGGATGACCCTGCCCATCAGGTTGTCTCTTTTCGAGATAACCCTGGGTGGAGGAGGCCTATGGGATGACTGAGGAAGTCGTGCCTTGGGCAGATCGATCAAACCTGTCGTGAGGAGCTAGAGATGGGCCAGGCCCCTGCCGGGCAGCATGCCATGAGGAACCCTCGCAGGTGAAAGTGAAGGGTGGATGCAGCTATGCACCCCAGGCAGAGTTAGCTCCCAAATGATGATGATGAATTTAGTCTTACTACAGCACAATGCAACATAATTATATAATTACTGCCATCTGCAGCATAGCAGTAGAGTTCTTGGCAAACTCCAAGAACACAGTGTTACCAGGTGTAGTGGACACGTCAGTGGATGAACACCTGCAAAGGAGCAATCTGGAAATGCGGCTGTCCTTTCCTTTGTCCCTGACTGTTTGGCTGCAAAAGTGAAAATTGTTTTTTTCAAGAAATCAATGATTAATGAATCATCTTTTTCAAAAATATTTGAGATTTGCAGGCAGGGAGATAAAAAGAGATGGTCCTCTTAAAAACTGATCCTGGTATTTCATGTTACTATATTGTATCCTTTGGACAGGGAGAAAGGGAAAGAGAGTTTGGACAATCAATAACACAACAGTGCTGGGAGTATTATCAGCATTTGTTGGTAGCCAGGAAAAGTTGCATTTAAATGCATAAAAAGAGTAGAAATTTGGCATGCCATTAAACCTTACAGCTCCTGGTATGCCAAAAAGATATCGTACAGTGGAACATCCATGTTTTAAAAGTTACCTCTAACATGTTAAAGAAAATGAGAAAAAATAAACATTTAAATTAAATCCATATATGAGAAAACATGTTCATAATAAATTTTAGTAATAAATTATGTAATTATATAACAAAATAATGTATAATGGGTGACAACAGGATCATAAAAGAAGGTGACAAGGAATGTAGTAGCCCCTGATGGCTTGTAGCGGGTTTAGAGGGAGCACTGGGTGGGATCAGCAGCCACTCAGATACAGATGAAGGCCTAGTGGATGCATGTGGACTTGAGGCTAAGAGAAAGATGCCAAATGGTACCAAATATACTAGTCTACTCTCAGCTTATCCTATCCACATCCAAAAAATATGGGTAAACAACACAACTGTTTTTTTTTTAACTAAATTTCTATCAAAGCTATTTGGCTTTTAGATGATGCTCACTTAAAGTATTTGGGTGACCTTAGTAAGGTTTGTATATCTTTTGGTAATCTACTGAATGGCTGTTAGAACACTTTAAACTACTAACTTCAGCCAGGAAGTCTTAAAATAAATTAGAAAAATAGAAATTTGCATACAATTGTGAATGTGACACATTAAAAATCAATGTAAAATTTTAACCTGTACATTGTCTCCCCAATACTGAACATTATATCATACTGCAGTCAAATATTCTTATGATGAAAATAAGCATGATAATTCATAAATTTTTCCTTACCAAAAATAGCTAAAAACCCATCCCGTAGATGAGAACAGTCTTTCCTAGTCCCAAACTTCACATATGTGCATATTGATGTCACATCAAAACTATTTATGCTAACCACTTTCACCAAATAGGAGAGATATCATACAGATTACACAATAATGTCCATTACTGCCCACAAAATACTAGTGCCAGTAGACCTTAAACTCTCTGAAAAAGCTAACCTCATTTTTGTAATTATCCAAGCTAACAACAGTGGGTGAGCATTACAAAATTTATTGCTTTTGAAAATCAATCTTAAATAAATACTATATATGCTTCAAATCACTTTAGCTTTAAGTGTACTGCATAGGCATTTGTATAACACATTGGTAATATCAGATTGGTTACCATAATCTATCCTTCAGAATTGTAATCTTTGGCTACATGTGCCACAATTCAGGTGCACTGATACTCTACATTCATTATAACCTAAAAGATGGCAAAGTTCAGAACTTCATGTGCCTCCAAGATAAAGAAAAAAGTGAACCAACAAATTTTCTCCTTGTTAACCACACAGACCTAAGTACAACAATATTGTTTAATGTGTTGCCACTGACAAACCATAATCATAATCATAACTATAGTCGTAATCATCAAATAAAAACAGCAATAAACAATAGAAAAAAAAAACAGAAAATGACTGCTGTCTTTTTGGTAAAAGTCATACCTAAAAATAACAGTTCCCAAACTTGCTACATCCTTTAGCAATTATACCTATTCAATCAAAGTCTGGATAAATAGTTTGCAAGTCTTGCATTCTTTGAATCAGAGAACACATAACATCAGCATGTGTAATTTCTTTTCTAACACTGACTTAATTATTAGGTAATAGGTAATAGTGCTTGCATAAAAAACTGTCACTACAAACAAAAATTATAAAATGCTAAATGGCTTTGAGAAAAGTTAAACAAGAATGTAGATACATTTCCTTTTGTTCTTTGGGGAAGTTTGTAAAACCTACAAGCAAAAGGAGTGATATTTAACATGAGAAAGCTTCAGTTCAAAAGTATATTTCTTTTCAGATATAATGTATACATATACAACAAATACACTGAAAAAAATATTATGATAATATATATCAAGATAACTTCTCACATTCCATTAGACCATCCTATCGACATCATCTTCATCTTGCTGCCATAGGGAGGTTCTGCATTAGCATGGGTGAAATTGCATTGGTCAGTCTGGCAAATCTATGCAGACTGGGAATTTTCTGCGTGAAAATTAGACTCTGCAAAAAATAAGCACTCTAATGTGTGTGTGTGTGTGTGTGTGTGTGTGTGTGTGTGTGTGTGTGTGTGTGTGTGTGTGTGTGTGTGTGTGTGTGTGTGTGTGTGTGTGTGTGTGTGCGTGTGTGCGTGTGTGCGTGTATGTGATGGAGGAAGGATGGGAGGGAGGGAGGGAGGGAGGGGGAGGGGAGGAAGAGAGAGAGAGAGAGAGAGAGAGAGAGAGAGAGAGAGAGAGAGAGAGAGAGAGAGAGAGAGAGAGAGAGAGAGAGAGAGAGAGAGAGAGAGAGAGAGTGAGTGTTAAGGATAAGTCCGATATGGAAGCTGAGCCTCGCCCGGGCTATGAGGGGAGCCCGACCTGTGCCGAATAATGTCGACTCGCTAACAGTGTGTCAGCTGCTGCTGACTCGGTTGAGCTTAGTTCTTACCCGCTGTGGTGCCCAGCCACAGCAGTAACCTCCAGGCAACAATTGCAACTTCTCGCACCTGGGCGGGGCACGAACTGCCGACCCCTCAGATGAGAGGCCGACACATTACCACTGTACTAGCCCGGAGGCTAGAGAAAGAGAGAAATACATTTTTTTTTCTATTTTGTTTTATTAGCAAAAATATGTATAATCAGTACAAAAAGTTTATGAATGAAACATTGTCCCTGATGTACTGATTCTGATTGCTCTCTCCTGACCACATGCATCAAGGAAATCTCTGATGCAGCTGGTGTTTAACCCAATGCCGACGGGCATGATGTGTACGTACATGCTATGTCCACTGTGAGTTACTTGTTTGATTGTTTTTGCACAAAGATGGCTACACTTGTACTAAGTCACCAATGAGCCTATTACGAGTACTGCCTGTCTCACCCATTTACCCTTTTCTTTGATGTACGAAAATATTTTACGTTTTCTTATTTTGCTGTTACTAATGTGTATAACATTATGATTATCATAATATTTATAATAAAAATAACACCATCGATATCTATAGCACTAGTAAAAAGTATGTTTTTCCCGCCAATTCAAGGAAAGGTGAAAGCAGGTAAGGTCACAAGGTCAATTAATTGACTCCTTTCTGACCTAGAACTAGCAGAGCCATCTATGTGCAGAGACATTTCACAAAAAATATAAAAAATGAGCACAGCATTTTCCCAATTTTTTATTCATTTTCCCCGGCAGCATTGGGATAAAGAGATACATAAGAACAACCACTTTCTTCCAGATCATTAATAGCTGGTGGTGCTGATGGTTCATCTGCATTAATTATGATAACTTTCTGTTTGTGATGATGATCACTTGGGTAAGGATAACTTTTTACTTCAATATTGGTATCAGTATCAAAAGTTTTGAAAGTCTTATGCAGTTGAGTTGTTAGGTGTCTCTCGTTTATATAAGGCTTTTGACAGTTTGAACAAATGCATTTTTTATCCTTT